TGGATCTAAATTATTCAATATCATGTATGAATGAAAAATTTTTGTGTTTTCTGGCTGTTTAGCATAATTGGCGAGTATCTTGAAGTATTCGTTAGTTGAATCATCACATTTACAATGTGAGGCAGCTCTTTTCTATTTTGACCTCTTGATTCTTCATTTTAAAAGGTCTCTCTTCAATGTGTTCTATGACTTATGCGTATATATCTGATGAACCCCATTACTTCTCTCATTTGGAAAGGTCAACAGAAAGTCAACGCAAATGACATGAACTTGGGTTGGATTTTTTTTTTATAAAAAAACTATAAATGTAAATGTTTTGTATATTAAAGTTGGTTCACCTGCTTCTTTCTAATACAGTGATAGAATTTATGAAGCTATTCATACTGGAGATTACTGTCTTTTAAATGGAAAGCTTAAAGGGTCTTTTTAAGTAAAAAAAAAAAGTAAAACCCACAAAATGATCTATATAGAGTAGATACAAATATTACAAATAGAGTAAGTCATGCAATTTTTATAGAGACCGATTCTGTGGCTAGCTTGACCATAGCCTTAGAGATTACAGTGTTTTTGTTGTTGTTGCTTTTGGTTCACAAACTTTATTCTACAGCAAAATCATTGCCAAACACTCTCTGTATTGATGTTCAGACTGGGAAACAAAACAAAACAAAACAAAAACAGCTTTGAAATAGATAACAAAAACAAAAATCCAATGCATTAACTGTCCAACATTGAGACTTATTTCTCTTAACAATTTTTCATTCATTTCTACATTATACCTCATTACACATTAAATTGTTTTTAAGGGAAGAAAAATATGAAATTGAATAATTGAAATACACCACCCTGTACAGTAAATAAAGATTCTGTGCACAGCAGATGTACATCACAACAAAATTTCTGAAGAAAATGACCTATTTTTAACCCTTTCATAAGACCAGGCATAGTTTGCTCTTTGGAAAGGGTTCTCATGACCCAGGTGAGCTCAGAAGATATTACTGGAGATGAAAACATTTCCATATAAATACTATCTGTATCTCTAAATCTGTCAACAGCAAGTCATTTCCAGTGTTTGAGTGTAGATAAAAATAGAATTATTCTGATGAATACCACCTCGTAGGACTGTATTTAAGTCATTTCAAGTATAAGGAAGTCTATCTTTTCTCATAAACACCTACTATTGTTTCGGTCACCATTTCTAGTATTTAAAATGTTTGCATTCAATAAATCCCTAAACCTTACCTTAGCCCTTAATTTAGCTCTGTCTTTTTAAGTTTCTAGAGCATGATATTTTCATGCCATCAAATTCGACACTGGTTACCCACTTCCCTGATGAACAGGGTGAAAACAAAAACACCTTTTTACTTTGATGAGAAAACACTTGAACTGAATATTAATTTACTGCCACTGTTCAAATACACATCTTTTTGGTTAACTGTTAATGGTGAATGACAGGTATTACCAATGCATCTTTTATTAAGTTACCATTTACTCTAACATAAAATTGAGTAAATATAGTAAAAGTCTTTTAATGAAATAGGAAATTCTTACCTTAAAGAGCATCACCTAGTAATACATCGGAAACAGAATTTTGATTAATCAGCTGTTTCCCATGTAAGATATAAACTCACTAATTTCTTTTAAAGAATGAGTCTTAGTAGGTTCAGATGAATAGTATCCTGAGCCATGTCACTGAGGAACTATTAAAATTCTGTGTCATGAGTTTTTTAAAGCAGTATTAGAAGATTTACTTTCACTAAAAGTTGAAGGTACAAAGGAGATTTCGATTTTGCCTTCATAATCTTTATTTCCATGTGCTTTAAAGTCTGTGTTTATGTAGATTTTCACTTTAAATTATTTTACTTTTCATGCTTTTGCATCATCTCTTACTGGCAGCAATACATTTTTAGCCTAAAAGCTATAGAAGTTTAGATCAATTAAAGTGTATCAGAACAGCCAGAGCTACTTCAAGAACAAGTTGTGAAGAAAACAGATCTCCACATTTTCTTTAGATTTAGTAGAGGTTGAAAGACTTTAACTCTTTATCAATAATATTTTGTTGTTGTTGTTGTTGTTGTTTTGTTTCAGTTATCAAGTAATTAAATTGCCTGGTAATAATCAAAACTAAGGTGGCAAGAAATAATCAGATGGAACTGCATTCCAGGAAAATATATCTACTTAGATAACATCAAGTACTATTTTAAAGAGGTATAGAAATGACTATGTGTTCAAAGTTGAGATTTTGTGTACTTTTATTATTAATAGCTTTTGGCTCTTTTGAGAATTCATTCTGAACTGTTATATTCAGTTTTATGAATAGCAAAAGTTGAGAAGGGAATGAAAGTTTGGCTTTTTCATTTTTAAAGCAATTAATTTTTAAGTTAAAGTCTTATGAGATTGACAGCTCTTTATTGAGTCTGCAAAATTTTAAAATAATAAACATTATAGGAGAATAAACACAGGTGGAAATGCTAATTAAATATCACAATCAAATAGATTCAAATATATTTGCTTTTATCTAAAACCTGAGTCAGTTATTGATCAGTAGTGATCTCCCTGCAGTAACTAGAACACACATACACACTCCTCAAAACTGCATAATAAAGTGGATGCTTGGCTTTGCATTCCCATCTCTAGTTCCCCGGCATAGTCCTAAAGATATTTTTTATTGAACTGTGCCTATATTAATATCGTGAGATTTTACATGTGAAACAATGTACCAGAAACAGGGCTAGCCTAACAAAGAAAATTAAAACCATCAAGAAACTTATTATTAAGAAACCACTGTTAAAAAAAAAAAAAAAAAGCATCCGTTCAGATTTTTCTGAGAAGATTGTACACTCCTCAAACATTAGTGTACTCTTCATTATTCAATTACCTCATTCCCCTGATTACTTACCGAATCAGGTAAAATACACAAATAAATAAGAAGCCCAAAAAGAACATTAGTATTTTTACATAATGAATCAACCCTTGCTCCCTTTCCCTAGACTTCAGTTTGACCAGTCACTGAATAGTCCCTGAAATTAGGTGTTCATTATGTGAAATTAAAAACATTCCATCTTTAGTCACACACAGGAGGATAAAATAGGTTTGCATGGATGTGTCTGTGTAGCGTGAGGGTGTGTTGTATTGAAAATGGTAGTATCCATGAAATACATGTATATTTACATGAACTGTCCTCTGAAATGATCACACTTTATGGAGGAGGATACATCTCCCTCATGCGTCGAATGAGATAGTTGTGGTTGTTCTTAATCTCTCTCACAGGGTTAACAAATATTGGGCATGATAAGTTTATTCTAAGCCCTAGGAAACAGTTTTTAAAAATTACCTTAAAAACATATTTGTATTTTAATCTATAATCCCCACAGTAAAGTCTCCTGTTTGGCTGGTTGATTGTGTTTTTTCATCACAAACATTGGCTTTTTCTCCATAGGAGGCAAAGAAAAGCAAGAGCTTCTAAGAATGCATACAAAGTCCTTAAAATATGTTTTCAGATGAAAATAATTATTATGCTTGGGAAATATAGTTGCTAATTAATAGCAAGCTGCAGCTATATCTACTAATAAAATATCTGTCTGCAAAAATGTCATTTTATTAAGAGTATAACTTGTCCTCCCATTTGACAATTTTTATTTCCTAGTAAAACAATGAATTCCAAAATGGTAGTGTCATCTTCAGTCATTCTGTCTATAGCGAATGGTTCTTTTAGGCTTCATAAGGTAAACAGGTGTTTCAAACAGGTTCCTTCTATTATTTTCTATCAGCTAATGCTAGCTAGAAATACTTGTTTTTACTAGGATGATACAGGCATTCTTGAAAAATTTTATGGAATAGTGTTTGCTTTTAAAATATTAATATGTAAAATATTTACATGTTAATTAACAGTAATGCAATCATATGACAGATGCCACAAACAAAATTTCACAGCTCTTAAAATTTTTTTAGTATTTAGAAATGAGATATTTTACTAAAATCAGAATTTTATAACTGCTGATAAAATTTTCTCATTCTGATGGCTATGTTTTTATAGTCTAAGTACAGATTTTCTTGGTTTTTTTTTTTTTGTTCTTTTAACCTCTTATCTAGGGATAATCTTGAAATATGCAGTATCCACAGTATATATCTCAAAAATAAAATAGGGTCATTCAATATGGATATCTTCTGATAGGGCCCAGAAGTGAGACAATAAAAAGCTGACCTGATTTAAATGAAAGTCCTGTCATGTAAAAACATTTGCATAGTTTTTACAACTCCTGGCCTGATCCTTGATCCTTTCATAAAAGGACTATGGGTCTGGGCCTTTAGAATTATTTTTATTTTTATTAAATGTGGAAGTTATGTTATTTATGGTATATTTATATAATTTTCTGAAAAATAACTCCTCCTGTCTTTAGGAAATACCCAATTCTAGTGACTAGTTTCTGATTGGGTTTTAAAGTCACCATTACTATTTACAATCTAGTTGACAATGAGCACAGGCATTTATTGTACCTTTGGTGTCTGTTAGTATGTTCTATCAGAAATACAGGATCTATGTGATAGTTTCATGTCACAAAATATATATGTCACAGTACTCGAGAACCTTACAAACACTTAAAAAAATGAACAATTTCTGATTCTATTCATTAGGAATACTAATGCTACATAAGTATCAGTTAAATAGTTCAACAGATGTTTGAACTAACGTAACATTAAGAAGTATAAAATGGTAGCCCAAATGGTTCAACCTTCATTTTCCAGCTACTAAATATTACTTCTTAAATTTAATTCAAAATTGTTCTTTGAATTATAGCATTGTTTATATGTTTTAAAGAATGAGCTTGAAAGACAGTTTTGTGAGTTTAGCAGAGCCAAACCTCACTAAGGACGTAATTTGCTGAAAATGAAAGAGTATGTTATCAGATAAATAACATGAATTTGATTGTGCAAGCATTTAATGCTGTGTAAGCGAAGTTCAGAACTTCCATTAAAGTTTACACGGAACCATCTGCACAACTAGAGATTAACACCGTTGTAACAAAATCCAAAACCATACATACATGACATGTGCTACTTGATACAATAGCAGCATAAACTATATTTAATTTAGGTAAGTACAGATTTCTTTTAAAAGAATGTATTTCTTTACTTATGCAAAGAATTGCAACTTATGAAAACATTCTTTGTGCTAATAGGCATATGACGTGAAGAATAAAATGCCTTATGCAAATAAGGAGTATTTGTACTCAAGTAAAATATATCAAGATGTCCAAAGTTAATGAACAGCCAAAAAAAGTAAATGAAAAATCATATGTCAAATTTGTTCATTATCAAGATATATTTTAAGTGAGGAAATCAAACCTTCCACTCTTTTTCTGATCTGATGAGCACAGGGTCCTTGTTCCTTATTATAATGGTCTTTATTCTGGAGGCATTACGGTGTGGAAGGTGGTTTGGGAGACGGACATGATCCTTGACTATCAAAACTGGTTGCTCGCCCAGGTAACTGAAAGACAATAATTTCATAATGCATAATCTCGTGCAAAAAAATAATACAGTGGGTAGTCGCTGCTACCTTTTAGTAGTGCATATTCACCCATGAGATGCTAGTCTCTGAAGAGAAGATATCCATAATTCCCCTTGCCCCCTAGAACTCACCGTCTCGGGCAACATGATGGGGCACAGACATCTCATGGAGATGTAGGCAGAGTATGATACACAGTGGCATGCGGAGCAACACTGTACACACAACTATTCATGACTGCAGACTCATTTCACATTTATGATAGGCTTTTAGTTCTTACTGTCAAATTAGATGGTTTGTGGTAGTGGGGGGTGACTGCTAGGTAAGAACAAGAAGGCTCAAGGCGTAGGAGACTGCATTGTACTTGTTCTAAGGCGAGAGAGGATTTTTATAGGGGCAACTAATGAGACCAGAGGAACTGACTCTGGGTAATGGGAGCTATGAGTGTTGAAGAATAATTTCTCATGGCCCTTAAATATTACATGTATTTAAAAAGTTCAATTACAATAGGATAAACTTTTGACTAGGTAGAAGTAACCAAATTTTCTAAATAATGCTTTAGTCTCTGCCCCACCAACTTACCCAGTTTTCAAATAATTGTTCCTTTCTCATTTTAATCCCTTCTCTGGCAATAAAACATATAATTATACACTCACCACTTTCCCAAAATGTAAAATCCAGCCAGTTCTTAGGTCTCTAGTCCATATGTTCTGTTTGACCAATGAAAGTAGGTGCAGGAGTTGGAAAAAAGGAGCTACTTGCTGGAGAAAGTACATTTACATAGTCTTTTAGTCCCATTTGTCCTCTGATACTCAGCTGCTAGAAAAATATCTGGGATCTTCTTCTGATGCCCATATTGTAGCGTGTTCTTCCTGTGTATCCTACAGTGACTGAAAAGTGTTCACATGTCCTGAGACACAAACACATGCCTATTCCAGAGCTTCCCTTCACCAAATAAATGCATAGCTGCTTATGAAACAGTCATAAGTAATTATAATATACCTTGTACCAGCCCTGTCTTTTCATTAATGAAAAATTCTTGCTCACATTGTTTCTTTTCTCCTTACATAATTCCTGTGAAGTCTGTACGGGCATGCTTTTCTATTTTCATTAAATATGGAGAAATGCAGCTGTAGACAGAACAAGTGATCTGCTCAGGATTAGACAGCCAGAGGAGTAAGGATTAGATCCCACATCACTTTTCAGTGTGGTTCTCTGCCCAACAAACTTTACTCTTATGTCTAGAATCTTAGAATTAATATTCGCTTTTCCAACTTTAAATGAAAGTAAGTTAAGAAGCAGGAAAAGGATAGTGATTGTATAATAAGAAGTAGCATATACTTTATACTTTATACAATACACACTGTTGACATGAAACCCAGCTTCCCAAGATTTGCTGAATACACTTGTTTGTACTTCTGATGCACTCTAGGGGAGAGTGCTGTGTGAATGTGAATTTATGTTTGTGTTTGTGTGTCTTCTTTGATTTACATTAAATGAAGTGTGATAAAGATTCAGGACATTAATATACCTGAGCAGATCTCTTATCCATAGAACAGCTTGCCTCTGTTGCCTGCGCATGCAGTGTTCATACAGTGTTCATCAAAATTTCCCTATAATGTCCTGGGTAACACAGCCAAGGTCACTTTTGTGACTAAGCTGAAGAGAACCTGGTCCCACTGACATTTAGTTAATTGCACTGTGCTGCCTCTCCCATTTAAGCCATTGCTTAATGCCAGAACAAGAAGCAGAACATGAACAGATCGTAGTGTATTCTTCACTTCCTATGTGGCTATCATAGCTATGCTTTTAATCGAATTTCAGGAATCTCATCATCCACCCCCATCCTTTCATCAACCTGCATTACCTCTCAATCAGGTCACACAAAAGATTTACTTTGTGCTGCCTCAAGAGTCTCCTTTGGGAGACAGTCATCTTTGGGAAAGGAAGTCATTCCATCTAGCAACACTTGGTGTATCAAGTAGACTGACAACTAACTTAAAGGCTAAAAATCCTGACAAACTGGTGTTGATACTTCTGATTAATACAACTATTAATAGTAGTTGTAGTCAGAGGTAACATTATGTCAAACTCTGTGCTAAGCACTTAAAATTTGGCATTTTATTTAGTTTTACTCTTTGAGTTTGCTACTGTTACACACTAAGAGCAGAAGTGTAGAGAGGTTAAGGAACTTGCCCAAAGTTCTCCAATATGTAGTCACACAGCAGAGCCATGCTTTGAACTCAGGTAATCTGATGTCTCAATATTTTAAAAATCCGTGAACACTTTTACTTACTGCCCTGAGTATTGGGAGATATACCTGTCCCTTTCCATAGAGGAGTCATATTAGAAAATAATACTTCTATTCAGGGATTCTAGAGAAGTTTAGGTGAGGTGGCTGTTTTCATAAATAAGCAGCAGCAAAATTCAGTTTCCAGGTGGTAAAAGATTTACTTGATTGCTCTATCACTCACTGATAGAAGTTTTCAGGCTATGTAAAGAAAATGACAGACTTGCAATTTTTATGAGCTTACTGTCCAAAGGAATATCAAACCCAAAAAATTTAGTAGTTTCTAAAATCCTACAAGGCACACAGAACTTTGAATATTGGATGAAAGATTATATGGGATGGAAGTAAGAGCAAGGTATAAACAAATAGGTGAATATATAAAATGACAGACGCATGGTAGCAGATAAATAATGTTTAAGCTGAAGAGATAAAAAAGAGAGTAGATGCCAGGGAACCACAGCATACCTCCAGCAAGGGGTGCCAGTGTGTTATTGGTTTTCGATGATAGGCCAGCATTTCATTCCAGTGGTCTCGCCCAAGACCTTCAGCATCCAGTCCTGTTCTACACACTCCTATGACTTCATTGTGTCCTACCCTACGATTTGGAGAATATCACACTTTCATTCCAACATTCAAAAATAAATGGAGTTTTGCATATCTTAGCAGAATTTTAAACATATGATTTCAACACTAGATTTTATGATAGGTTCTAAATGATTCTGCAGATTAAACTACTTTAGGTCAAATTATAAATCTTAAGTAAACAAAATTTCCTACACAGGATTGGCATTCAAATATGGATTTGTAAAAGGAGCACACACAAACCATTTTGGTTCTCTGTAACTTGAGCACATTTTACAATAAAACAGAATGACAAATGACGGCTGCTTCTTACCTATATTGTTGAATTTCCTTTTTAGAAGCAGCACTATTAACTTTAAGTGCTATAAATCAGATATTGTTTTTTTTCACAAGGCTTCATGTTTTATAACGATGCTTTGATTTCTTACCAAGAGCTCAGTACCCACTTTCTTGCATAAATGACCATATTTCATTGACTCTACATGGTAGGTCAGCATGTGTCACTGCTTGTACTACAATTAAACAGGGCAGGGCTATCTTCAGCACTATGAATTTGATTTACTACTGCAGAGTACCGGAGCATAGTGCACAACATTCCTATTTTCTACTCCTGTTTTCACAGCAACAAATCAAAATAACAGTGATACTTAATATTTTTGAGAGCTTATTATGAGCCATACACTTATAAGTCACTTAATTTTCACACTATGATCGTGAGTATCATTATCATCATCTCATTTTATGGAAAAAGAAACTAAATACCCAGAAGTTAAGGGACCTGGTAGTACACAGTAAGAAGTAGAGGCAGGATCTGAATCCAGACAGTTGACTCAAGTGTGCACGTGCTAAGTTGCTTCTTAAGAGTGGAATGTAATTTTTTTTTTTAAAGATTTTATTTATTTATTTGACAGACAGAGATCACAAGTAGGCAGAGCAGCAGGCAGAGAGAGAGGGGGAAGCAGGCTCCCCGCTGAGCAGAGAGCCCGATGTGGGGCTCGATCCCAGGACCCTGGGATCATGACCTGAGCCAAAGGCAGAGGCTTAACCAACTGAGCCACCCAGGCGCCCCAAGAGTGGAATGTAATTTAAAGATATTTCTATAGGGTTCTTTTTTAAAATTTTATTTTTATTTTTATTATTTATTTTTATTTTTTTTTATAAAACATACAATGTATTTTTAGCCCCAGGGGTGCAGGTCTGTGAATCACCAGGTTTACACACTTCACAGCACTCACCACAGCACACACACACACCCAATGTCCATAATATATTAGGGTTCTTTTGATAGACATCTCTAAGGAGACTTTTGAGATTATCTTAGAACATTTCTTTATTTTCTTCCTGTCATTGATGTAGATTTGAATGTTTACTATCATGTTTCTTCCATATGAAGTTTCCCAAACAAGCATATTTTTAGGAATAATTTTTTAAATCTTTCTCTTCTATATATTGTCAAGATCTATTTCCCTAAAATTGTCTGCATGACTAATACTTTGTTTTATCTACCTGCAATCACTGTGAAAAGCAACAGGAATAATTTTTTGGAAAGTAGAACAGAGGTTTCTGATGAAAACACTGCGACAATTTTTGAGTTTTTTGACTAATTCAAGACTTTTCTCTCTCTAAATAGTGACAGCTTTTTCCCCCCTTAAAGTGTGATATAAACTAATTGCAAATAGATGGTATAAATCATTTTACTTTTTAGTGCTTCATTTTCTAACTCCGAGCCAGAGGATAGCGTATTAATTTCTCTAGCTTATAGGGTCCTGTTACTACTATTTTCATGATACTATAAAATGGAGCACTCCTTTTGAGTACATTAGAACAAAATAAACATAGCAGGACACTATCTATATGCTAATTTTGTAGGTTAAACATGTAGTATTCCTTTCCAAAAGGTTTATAAATATAAAAAGCAAAACAATACGAAGAAGTATATAGCAAGGGCCAAATAACAGATATGAACCTTTAGTGGGACATGAGTTCAGAGAGAGAAGAGGTTGGGATGCTGAGAAAGACACAGAAGGGGTAACTGGAGCAGGGCTGTGAAGCCTGGGTGGAATGAGATACACAGAGCAGGATAACATTTCAGACAAAGCAAGTATGTGAGAGCAAAGCTGGAGCTGAAGCAGGAAGAAAGAGCAGAGCTGCACTTGGGAGTTTGTAATTTATTTTATGAAAGAATTGACGTAAAAACTGAGCTGAAAGAAAAACCCACAAAGCACATTTTAAGATTGATACGAAGGCATCAAGGCTGTGTCCCTATGGCCATTATTCACCTTCCACTCTTAATACTCACTGTTAATGGCTCTGTATTAGGCTAATGTTTTACAAATGGGAAAAGTGAATCCCAAAGAGATTACAAAAATTTGCCCTTTCACACAACCAGTTAATGATAGAGCTAGGAGAAGAATTAGGATATGCACATTCCAGCCTAGTTGGGAAAACAGACTCCATTGATTGCAATTTCTGTTGTTACTGTAAAGAGATGTCACAATCATGCTTTCTGTAATGGATTCCACATGACTTCTGCACCACTCTTTCCCCAGCCCCAGGTGTCCTGTCCTTCAACTTAAGAATGGCTTCTTATGGAAAAGAAAAAAAGAAATAGTATAACATGGGAAAAATGAATTTTGAATGAATAATTTTTTCCTCTTCCATTTCAAATTGAAACTGTTGGAACAGTAAATAACCTGGAAAGTTGAATTTGCTCTGCATATGCCTCTTCAGTGAGTGAGAAATACATGTACATACCTATCGTAATCCATGACCGCGATGGAGAGGCTGACCTGGTCCACATTCTCTGGAGGGATATCAAAAATAATGGCCTCATTGTATACAGGGTTTAGAGTATTTTTCTTTGTAGTTGTTTTCCTCTTTTTTAGTCTTCGACCCTCGCACATCAGAGACACTTTGACATAAGGATCTAAGGATGGTAAGGTAATTTCATTAAAACAAAGGTAGTAGTACAAAGTATAAATAAAACTGTAGTTAACTGTTACTAAATAAGAAAAATGACATATTAAGCCTTTTAGTATTATCAGTTTTAAATTGAAATGACTTATTTAGAGGCAATAGACTAACACTTTCTTTTCAATGTAGGAATTTATCTTGAATGAGCCAAAAAATCATTAACTTTATCTGTTTTTAATACAACAGAGAAAACCTACTGATCTATCAAGAGCCAGTCCAGAACTATAATATGTCTTCTAGTCACAGCTATTTGAGGACACATTTTGTTAAAAGTGATTTCTAGGGCACCTGGGTGGCTCAGTCATTAACCATCTGCATTTGGCTCAGGTCATGATTCCAGGGTTCTGGGATCTAGCCCTGCATGAGCTACCATTCAGTGGGAAGCCTGCTTCTCCCTCCCCCACTCCCCCTGCTTGTGCTCCCTCTCTGTGTGTCTCTCTCTGTCAAATAAATAAATAAAATCTTAAAAAAGAAAAAGTGATTTCTAGGGAATATAACCCTAACAAGTAAGTATAATTGCCTTAGTTATAAATTATAAATTTATAATTATAAATTACAATATATATAATTATAAATTACAATATATATAATTATAAATTATAATTGTAAAAGTTAATTTCCTTCAAAATAATTTAGGATAAGACTACTAAAATTTGTGAAAGAGTAACATTGTATCTAGTTGTGTGTGTGTGTGTGTGTGTGTGTAAGCACAATGAGTAGAAGTTAGAATTTTCCTCAGTTGTGGGAAGGGTACTAAAATAAGAAGTTTCATTTTAGTGTCATAGTGTTGGTATTTGATAAGCGGCTCAGGCAGAAGAAATAAATGATCACTACAAATATATTAAATACATTGTGTTTAATTGTATACTATAGTATATAATAAAAAAGGTAATATTTGGTTTAAAGATGTTCTCAAGGAAGGTTCTTGAGATGACATTGTCTAAATGATGCCGACTTAAAAGGGAAAAAAATAGTGGGGGTATATTTTTATGGGACAAAGGGTCAAATAAATGTTAACAAGTTCTGCCCCCAGTTGACTGATCTCTGTTTTTACTTCTCCCACCTTGAGTAGGAAAACTGTTACAGTATTACAGAAAATTATGCAGTATGATATGAAAGTTAAAAAAAAAAGTTAAAAGCCTTACTTTTGTACCTTTTTACAAGAAGGAGGCATGGCTTTGAGAAGGGGTGTCGGCATTGGAGTGAGAATGCTAGTTGGTTAATCAGTATCTGCTCTATGTTTATTTATTTTTCCCCCTTTATTCTGGTGGCCCTCCAACAGCAGCACCACCACATCTTTCTCCCTTTTTTCACCAATGTCATAGTAAATCTCATTCCCTTGGAATAAGCCCAAATCATGACAGTGTAAATTTACTTGAATTTATGCCTTTTAGGCACTAGAATAATGTATCTGTATATTTCATAAGCATTTTCATCAAGAAGCAAAAATATATTTTCTGCCTAGAAATAGGATATGTAAAGGAAGACAAAGTAAAATGGCAATGTTCAATGGCTGTTTGCCATTTACTTCTCAATTTTTTAATAATAGGAAATATGTTCCAAGGAAGAAACTCACTTCTGTGATACTCTTTTCTGTATGAGGTCCCAGGCCTAGATCTCTCATTAACAATGGGAATAAGGCATGCTTTATCCTCTGCCACCCCCATCATGACACTTCTCCACTAGTGACAAGGATAATTTACTGGTTCCTTAGTTGATTCACAAACCACTTGTAAACCTCTTGTAAGAATTAATGAGGTGGTGTTCTCAGAGTATGTACTCCTCCGATGAAGACTTCATATAAACAAAAAGTAATCTTGCACTTAATTACTGCTTGATGCTGTCTGCATGTCTCAAAATTTGATCTCTTTTGATATATGGTGGAAAGAGTAGGATAAACAATAATTTGCAGGGTACACTGTTTAAATTCTTCAACACTTACTGACCCAAGAATTTTTCACCAAAATAAATGTGGAATTTACTTTCTTCCTACCTTTAACTATCAATGATGTATTGCAAATTTTTAAAAAATGAAAAATTATTCACAGAATAGTTCAAAAGTGAAGATAATTGAGAACAACTTATAATGAGAAGACTCCTTCCCATCTGTTCCCATAACTCTCTCTCCACCCCTTAGTTTTCCTGTGTCTGGTATTTCTTTTTGTAAATATTAACAACATAAATATATACTGTAACACTCCCCACTCTTACACAGAAAGGCACATGATACCCATATTCATTTTTGCACCTCACTTTTTAAAAATTTACTTAGTATATCGGGAGCTCTTTCTACACTAGAACTTAAGAGTTCCCTCATGCTCTTGTAATGCAAATTCAGTTTAATTTTTTGTTCTGAAGAACCACAGTTAGAGATTCCTTCCCCATGTCATCCTTTCATGTATCTCCATTACTGTTTCTTTTTTGTTTAATTTGACAAATACTTACTGACCTCCCTCTTCTATCCTGATCATTTTTTCTTCTACAGAGCTGTGCCAAAGTTCACATATGAAGCTAATACATAACCCTCCAGACTGTAGTGATATAAAGGAAAGGGTAAAGGAGCATGATGAGGCTTTACCTTTTTATCAAAATTAGCACAGAAAGAGAAATTTCCTCCAAGAACATCTTTAAGAAACTTCAACATTCCTTTACTTTATAATTTCTTTCAGTCCCTATACTTGCCCAAATTTTTATTTCGAAAGATGGTAAGAATGCAAATGCAAATGATGGTCTTGGAAACTTGTTATTTCTCTGCAGATCAGGTAAGGGAGATAAAGTCAGCCTACATGTGTTTTCATACTTGTTGGGTAATGCAAGCTTGAGGTCAAGAATCTTCTTTTATAAGCAACTGACTAGTTAGAAGTAGGGCAGTGATTAGTAAATTATGAATTTTTGAGAACTAAGTCAGTAGAGAAAGAAATAAAAATAAAAAACCAAATTTCATAGTCAATCTATTTGATAACATCTTCTAAAAATTTTTGTAATGATAATGTAAATACAAGAGGTGATTTGGAGTACTTTGTTTGACAATCTCTTTTTCCACTTGTATAATAATCCTCTATAGACAACTGAACTTAATAATTCAATAGCCATGCATAATTTTGGATACATGAAATATTTTTTATTTGGAATGTATTTGAGCCACTAGCCAATCGTGTACATACCTGATGAGCCAGTGATATCCATAGCCTTCAGATTTCTGCACTTGATGACGGTCAATGTCATACGTCCAGCAGTTGGCAAGTAACAAAGGGAGAACATGATTTCACCCAGATCTATACTTTCCTAGAATGGCAATTGGTAATGTTATCAATTTCAAACACCAGATACTGAAAACAAGATACAATTGAAGAGGTTAAATGAAAAATCACTTCAACAGGGTATGTGAATGTCATTCTAAATTGTTTTATAAAGGATGCAGATAATATTGCAAGAAAGCTGTTCTAAACAGAGTAAGAAAATCGAGTATATTCCACCTGCTCATTTGACATCTCCACTTGCGTTTTTAATAGGAATCTCAAACTTAATACAGTCAAAACCAGACTGCTGATTCCACTCATTCCCATTCATCTTCTGGAACCAATTCCTATGTCAGTCTTTCCAAAACCCAGCAAAGGATGTCATCATTCACCCAGAGGCTGGAGCCAGAGCCCAGCAGTCGCTTTTATTCTTCTCTTCCCTCACCCCTACACTTCTAACCCATGTCTTGTCTACTCTGTCTGCAAAATAGATCCCAAATTAGTGACTTCCTTTTCAGCTCTATTAATACCATTCAAGCCAGTATCACTTCCTCTCAGGATTACATTATGAGTCTCTAAAACTGATCTATCTCAGAAGCAGTCAAAGTGATCCCTTATGAAATGCAAATCAAGTTATTTCACTCTCCTGCTTAAACCCATGTAAGGGCTCACAATTATACTGGAATAAAATTCAAACTCCTGCATATTAGTGGGGTGACTATAAATCTTGGTATATCTGAGAAATTCTGGGTGTATACCCATTGTCCTGGTGTAATTAGTAAGAACATCCTGCAATTCTTAAATATGTCTTTGATTTGGACAGTGCATCACAAGGTCACACATATAAGGCCCTGTGTGATCGGGATCCTACCTGTCATTCTAACTTTATTTCTTGCTTCTCTTCTTGTCTTACTCTGATATAGACTCAAAAGCCTTTTTTTTTTTTTTTTTCCTGTTACTCAAACAAATGCAGTTTGTTCCTGCTTTTGCCTGGTGCATTTTTTTTCCCCCCTCGTATGTCTTTCTCGCTATGCAGGACTCAGTTCAAACAATATCCCCTCAGTGAGACATTCCCCCTTCCTATCCTGTGTTCACCTACTGAAGAGATCCTTCACATTTTTTTTTTGATAGCACTTATAATCATCAGTAATAATCTTTTAAGTTCTTTTTTGTTCCCCTGATTCCCATATATAAGGTCTAGGACAGCAGAGTTCTTATCTTTTTATTACTACATCCTACTGAAGTGCCTGGTACATGGCAGGCTCTCAGTGAATCTTTTTGAAGGAGTGAAAAGCTTATTAGTTCAGATGGACAAAAACTGACCCACTTTGTATCAAATATGAATTTGAACTGTCTATAGTACTCTTCCATAGCTATATTTCCTCCCCATAGCTGCATAGATGGTGAACAAATGAAAATGAGTATGAACAATGCATATTTAGGATGCTTCTCAAAGAGCTCTTTACAGGATTTAATCAAATAATTCCTGGTAAGACAATATGTGGGAGATTTAATTTGGCAGGAAATAAGTTGCTATGCACCCAGGCCCGTAGAATTAAGTTCCTCAAAATTCTTCATGACAAACTATTAACATTTATTGGACTTATCCTCACAGCTTAGATTCTGATTTATGTAATTCCTATTTCTTTATTCATGAGCTAGAAGTAGTAGAATCTGCTAATTAAGAACATAAACTTTAGAGCCAATTAAACTTGCGTTTGACTCCTACTTTCTTTCTACTTCCTAGCTGTGAGATCCTAGGAAATTTAATTAAGCTTTGAATCTCTGAAATTCATTTTCAAATGGAGGAAAATACCCACTCAACCATCGTTTTAATCATTAAATGAGATAATGTAAATAGAGTCCAAGGCATTTAACACAGCGTCTGGCATACGATGAAGGATGCTGTTTTATTCACAGCTGTATTGCCATCACACGAGCAGTACCTTATACAGAGTGGGTGCTCAGTAAGTACTAGATAAATGAAAAAAAAAATTAAGGAAAGCAGTTATTACTTTTTAAGAACTTTAGCAAAAAATGTTTTAAAATAAAGATATATCCAACTGGGTTTCTTCTGGGCTGTTGGATTGCTGCAAACCCAAAATAGTGGGCAAGATCCAACAGGAGAGGCTTGAGAAAAAACAGAAAGAGTACAACCTCCTACTGAGGATTAATTAATTAATTAATTAATTAATTATTTTTACCACCAAGCAATTACTGAGTATTATTTGCTAGGTGTGCTGGTAGGAGCCACACATACCAAGATAGATGTGGCATGCTTCTGTCCTTGAAAATCCCAGTCAAGAAGGAAAAGAGTAGGCTATAAAAGGCTAATTAAATAAGTCTGGATCCTATTTTATCTGATGATTTTCTTCCCTTTTCTCTTTCTGTCTCTTTCCCAGTGTTTCTTTAGGCTTCGTCAATAGAGTTTTCTCTGAAGTTTTCTATCTGGCAGCCACCACCCCTCCCTTTCTCTCACTGTATATTTCTCCTTCCAGGAACTATCAATAAAAGTAGGCATATTTTATCACCAGCTGGTGAAAAAATAAAGGGATCTCTTTATGAATGTAGAGAGCAGGTATCAAGTTCTATCAAGAAACGGTGGGGATGGCAATGGAGAAGCTAGGGAGGAAATAAGGGACATGATCTCAGAGATGAAATGCTTAGAGTCCAAGAGGGAATGTACCACATACAGACAAAAGAACATAGAGACATGTAACAATCATGAAACAATCTGTGGAACTAATTTTTCTACTTCTCTAGATATATCACATGTTTACTGGTTGAAACAAAGAAAGTTTACCATATTTGGTCCCATCTCTCAAAGGTCCTTTCTATCCAGCTGCAGCATAATTTTGACTATCTGTTATTAACAAGTATTGGTAAACATAAAGAAGTTAAACTGAGGAGCTGACCAAAGCACTAGCCTAAATAAATTGAAAGCAAAGAGCATGATTAAAGAACATTCCCAGGCCCTTCTGTATGTATGACAGGATAGCTGGCTTTTTGCCTATTCTGGTAGTAAGAATTCTCCTTAAATATGTGAACTCCATGAGGTCAGGAGCTTTAATGAAACTGGAATGAACTGGGTGGTAAAGATTAATGTGTATTCTGCGTGCATAATAACTGCATAAAAGTTATATACTTCATTAAACTTGATTTTTTCCTTTAGGGGTGTGAATGTGAAAGAACTGAAATTGCATACACTCTGAAAAGGGCAGAATACTCTCTAAGGTAAATACCAATATTCTATAACTTCTTAAGTCTGGAAGCAATCTAAGAGATGATTATGAGACATGAACTTAATGAAGGTAAATGGCTGTATAACCTTTAAAAAGGTCCTATAACAAATGTAACAGCAGAACTCCAGATTCTGGCTACAGTTCTGTGAGCTAGTGTGTACTAACTCTTGGTAACCCCACTGAGTCTGTCCCTGTGTTGATGGCGCAGCACCAAGGAGTGGGTTGCGTTTTAATTGCCACCTCTTATCTGCCCGAGATCACCGCTGATACACAGTCCCAACAGTCTGAACCCCTTCCTGCAGAGCAGAGAAACAGAAAATAAGTTAAAATGTCTCCGCACAAAGTTATATGGTGAAATTCTATTAAATAAGGAAACTACCTCATTTCTTACTCATTTACTATTTACTTATTCACGTACCCATTTTCTATTATTTTAGACAAAACTCTAACAAGAATGTTTACTTGGTATATCAATCTTCAGCAGGTCAAAATTCACAAGTGGAATGTGGAAATGGGGAAACTAACCAGTAGTCTGTCTGACAGCAATAAATGATAGCTAGAAAGACACTACTCATACAAGAAAAAAGCAAACATTTGAAAAAGGATAACAATCTGGAATCCTTTTGTATCAAGGGGAACTGATACTATTATCTCACTGACTTAAAAACATCATTTTACTATAGGCTTCAACAGTAATTAATATTCAAAATTATAGCTTTTGAGTTATTAAGCTTAGAAAAAATATTCTATATGTTCTGCTTAAGAAAGTAGATAAGTGTACACTATTTTTTTGGAATTATTTTTATCCAAAATCCTTGAAATGTTTGAATTGGTCATTTTGGGTTTTAGTTTCTTAAAATGAGAAAGGCTTTGTGTTTCTGAAGTTTAATTATGGAAGACCTCATTTATTTCAATTCTACATAAACACAAACTTCCCATATTAACCTTGGAAAAAACATTGTATCTTTGGGCAAATAATCACTTGAAACCTGTTTTAAGTCTAGCATAGAGTGTTCTATAAAATTTCTTTCAAGTATAAAGACTGTTCTCATACACACTAATCTATTTGGTGGAATATTTGCAGAGACAGGCTTCTGAAAAAGGTTAACACTGAGGCTGGGTCAGGGACTGTATATTTGATTTCTTCACTCTGGTTCCACAGACATAGAGCTGTGTAGAGAAAGATCATTTTCTAATACTTGGCAATAGTTAACCTCATAAATCTAGTCAAAGTTATAAAGATTTTTCCATGTACCGTCTCTCCAAGATAAAAATAAAAGTCATTGGAAAGATAAGTTGATATATAGGTAGTTGCGTTGCACATTCTATTTCAGGACTGAGCTAATAGTAAGATCGAATTATAGCAACTGAGTACAGAGCTGGAGAGGAAGCAGACTGAAGGCTTGATAACTACAGCGTGTTCTAACCAAGGGAAGAACTCCTGGAGGGCAGTAAACATCACATTAGGGTTTGAGAGCCTTAAGACATGGGACTGGCAAAGAAGAGGAATGATATTGTATGTGAGTACTATGATTAATATTTACGAATACAAGTGGCAGTTTATGTTGAGAAATAAGGAGTTTGGTGACATGTGGGAAGAGTTAAGGCTCTATGTAGTTTATTTGGTGACTCCTATGGGTAATAGGGATCCAAAGGTATTGGTAATATAAAAGAGTGGGAGCTTGGCAGAATGAAAAGGGCATGTAGGTTCCCAGATCAGAAAAGCCATAGTTAAAATCTTACATCTCCCATGTATTAGTTGGTAATGAAAATGATATTTGGAAACCATTTCTTTGTTCTGAGT